TCAGTTGTAGAAATACTTTTATTAGTTGAGAAAAAAAAGAAATATTTTTGTTAATCATTTAGAGATAAACAATACAAGCACAAAAAAGATAACCTTAACAAGGTCAACAATATCAATTCCAACATTTAATTCATAAGGTTCCACCTCAAAATTCTCTGAAGTTTTAGGATTTACCTTGAAAACTTCATTTTCAAGGCAATCCAAATTTGTCTAAAAAAAAAAAAATGTTTTAAAGGACAAAATAACATATCAATATAATTACAAAAAGTTGAAAATCTTACATCTGGTAAATTCTTTATTTTAACGTAGCCTTTTAATGCAAAAGGTTTCTTATTTATCTCAGTATAATTATGATACCAGAAAGATTTAGTAAAACAAAAATACCAAGGCTTTCCTCCCTCTCCTAAAATAATTATAATAAATGATAGCAAACATTAATGATTAATTGTAACTGGAAAAGCTGTAACTGCAATCAAAATAATGATGATGATGATGATGATGATGATGATGATGATGATGATGATAATGATGATGATGATGATGATGATGATGACAATGATGACTATGATAATGATGATGGTGATAATGATGATGATGATGATGATGATGATGATGATGATGATGATGATGATGATGATGATGATGATGATGATGATGATGATGATGATGATGATGATGGTGATGATGATGATGATAATGATGGCGATTATGATAATGATGATTTAAAAAAATGATCAAAATAAAAAAAATCTATTTACCTGGTAAAACTTGCAAAAAGTATATGGTTAATGTGGAATACAAAAAAAAATCAAAAACCATGAAATTTACAACCCATCCAATATTAAAAGTATCATTTAGAAATGGGCTTGAATAATAGTTTGACCATTGAGCACCAATACTCTGGTCTTCTTGTATAAATATATATTTAAAACCAAGAGCAAAGGCAGAAGTGGGAAACAAAGACTAAATCAACAAATGGTACAAAAATAGAAAATAACAGTTAAAAAAAATATGTAACAATTTTTTATATATAATAATTACTAAATCAAAAAAATTAAAAATATTTAAAATATATACCATCAAACCAAGCTTAATAAATGATGTGTCACCAACAGACATATATCCACAAAAAACAAAAGGAGTAAAGGTGAAGAAATAAAATAAACCACCACATGCAGCAGCCATATTTGTCTTTGAAAAAAATATGCTAACAAAAAAAGCCATTGATATAATGGAAATAGCATAAATCATTGTAATAAATATAATGAGAGATACATCAGAATGGCTAAGGATTCTTCCAAATTTTAATAGAAAGGTAAGGGCAAACGCAGAAAAAGTAATGCAAATTAAAGTTGTGATAAACCATGCTGTCCAATGAATAGAATCAGTTAGTCCCATAACCTTAAGAAAGCAATTAGTTCATTATTGAGTTAAATTTAATATATTAGAACATGTAATATAAACTTAATATATACTATATAAATAGTATATAATTTAAATATATTATATGAACACTTTTTAACTTATATAGCTATTATAATTTCAAAGTGTTTATCAGTAAAACACAAGTATATAATTTTTTTCCAGTTTATTTTCAGGCTTTGGTCAGAATGTATATAAATAACCAAGCAAACTATTTAACTGCAAAAAATTTGAGCTTGAGCACTGAATGTTTTTTTATTTATTGAACCAAAAGCAGAACTTGTTTACTTTCTAGTCTCCAGTATTTATTAAAGTATTTTTGTTCAAAGTCAAACTATTTTTTTTTTCTCGTCAAACTTCTTGGCATAACTTGAAATTTTTAAATTAGATTTTTTTTTAAATAAAAGTCATTCCATATAAAACATGAATACCACAGCCTAATATTTTCTTTAGTTTTTTGTAGTGTTTAGTTCTGAAAAATTATCTTAACTAAAACTAGTTTTAAACTAAAACTCATTTCAGCCAAAGTTTGACACACATACAACACACACATGATATGTGTGTTGTATGTGTGTGTTAGTTTGTGTACATGTATATGTATATAAACACTACGGTCAAAGGTTTGTGTTCAGTTTTTTAAAATATAATTTTCAAATTTAATAATATTCAAATAAACAAAAAGATTTTTCTTATTGCAGGTATTTATTTATATTGTTTACATTAAAATAATCTACTTTTCAAAGATGATATTCACAAAGATCATAGATTTCTATTTTTTTTTTCAACTATTATTAATTACTAATTTTAAACAAAATAATCATTCTTTGAAAGAAATAGGATGACATTTAAAAAATTCTTTCAGTTCTTTTTTTTTTTTTTAACTCTTCAAATCATCATAGCCATTTACAAGTTTTATATATTTGTTGCAGGTTTTATATGCGTTTCAATACTTTGCAGTAAAAACAAAGAAAGTATAACTAACAACATAGGGAATTTAATTTAAATAGAAAAAAAATTTAAAAAATTAATAATTTTAAAAACCTTTTGAAATTTAAAAGCAACGACCTTAAAAAATCAAAAATAAAAACAATACACAAATTATTTAAATTATTAACTTTTTTATGATAAATAATAAAATTTAAATCTATTACTTCCAAGAAAAAACAACTTTTTTTTTGTACCATCACAAAATATTGATTATTACTTTTTGTTAATAGAATTTAGTGATTAGCTATGACAACCACCATTTATAATTTATAGAAAGTTTCATAACATAACATAACAACATTTTTTATCAAAACAATCAAAAGAAAAGAAGAGCATAGCAATTTTATTATAAGAATTTTTGGGGGAAATTTTTCTGCATAAACATTTGACTCTGAGAATGAACCACAAGACATTTAACAAGATTTTTTAACAAACATAAATTATAATTCATCCAATTTTAATATAACTTTTTAAATTTAAACTTACTAATCTCACTTATTTATTTTACATTTATAAATTCTTTTTTTTTTTACACGTAAAATCCAGAAATATCTAGAATTTCCAAAGAGCTGTCTTTTCTATTCATTGGTGAACATTTATTGGTGCAATTATGAAACAAGGGCTTGTAACATTATCAGAAACAACCAATTTTATTATAAAACCTAAATCTACATGCCACACAAGTTGCTGCAGCTAAGCAAATAGCATAAGACTTGATTGCAATAAATGATGCAACAAGTTGAGTAATTAAGAAGTTAAATTTAAAAAAAACAACTTTTTAATGGTACTTAAAGTTTAATACCTTTTGATTGCTGAAAAGTGCCAAACCATTTGAATAAAATAATTGTTATTTTTAAAAATTTTGACGTAAAATAAACAAACAATAGTTTTTATTGGTTATTGTTAATGCAACCTTTTAGTTATATAACTTTTATGAAAAAATATCCCAGTATCATTTATACATACATAAAAATGAAATAAATCAATGATTTAGGTAGTAATACCTTCATTACTTCTTTTAGTTTTGATTCTTTTTCATGCACTATACTTTTAACTATCATTGAAAATGTATATAACCAAGAAAGTGTAATGCATAAAGGCATTGTCATTGCCAAATCATAAAACCTATTAGAACAGAATAAGTTATATAATTTAAAATAGAATAAGTTACATAGTTAATATCATTGTAACATATTTTTAACATTTCATAAAGATTTGTATTACTCACGAGTCTATAATGTAACGAGGATAAGGAAACTGTTGAGCATAAATGCCTGGCTGAGTTATAGTCTTATTTGTTATTAATTCTGTAAGTACACGGTCGATAATGTCTTGCAAAAAAACAAAACCATTACTAATGTATTCATATTGCAAAAACCGATTTGGACGTATTGGGTTTGGACCAGGTATCCAGTAACTGATGATATAAATAAAAAGGTTTAAATAAATTTAGTTAATAAATTTTTAAAACATCAATAATATATAGGTTGTAGGGGTAAAATAAAGAAAAAAAACACACACATGCTGCATTAAGAGTAAACAAACATGTAAGTGAAAATTTACACATTTTATACTGTTATGGGTGCAAATAGGAGTAACAACCTTTTAAATCAAATATCTATAAAAACTTTTATAAAGTTATAAGAAGTATAAATTATTTATTTTAAGGCTCTTTTTTAAAAAATATAGTTAAAGATTAAGAAAACAATGTAATAAAATATTTAAAATGCTGCACATTGAATAAGGCAGCAAAACTTTAAGTATAATAAAATTAGAAAGCAATAAAATTGTTAGAAATTATTGTTTTCCAAGTGCAGTAGTAATAAAAAAAACTTAAAAGATTAATCAAATACCAATTCTTGGCAAATATAATTAAAACTTAAGAATGTTAATAATGTTTATAAAACATTTTAAACCGCATTAAACATTGCAAAGCTTTTCTAATTGAATATTGTGACAAGGTGTACAAGTGAAACCTGTGACAGAGAATGTATCCAGTGGTTTTAAAAGAAAACACTAAAATACATAACAGTTAACAGTAGTAAACTTGACAATTATGAACATTTCTGTAATGTGTTGTAACATATGTATAAATGTATTCATACTTTTATTTTGTATATTTTAGGGTACAAAACATTAATTTGAAAATTTATAAATCTTTTTTAGTTTTATTATTTGTCAGGTCAGGTTTAACCTGTTACTGGAAACATGTAACCCTGTACAATCTGCTTCATGTCCTGCTGCCTTGTAGGATGGCAATTGCTTGAGTTATTAAACAGTGTACTGAGTACTATCTATGTTTCGAGTCAAGTTCTTTAACAAATTTATAAATGAATAAAGTAACAAAAACAATAAAACACAAAAAACCACAGTCATCACCAAGTTCTCTAAACCTATCATTCACTAATATTAATGGTCTTCGTAGTGACTCTTCTGTCGAGTCTTATCTCTTGCAAAGTTCACAAAACCAATTTGCTCTTTGTGAGACTAACTTGAGTTTAGATGTCTCATCTTGTGATCTTAGTGTTAATGGTTATCCTTCCTTTAATTCCTAAAGACTCCAATAATCACATGCTTGGCTTGGGCATTTACATTCTTAAGAATTCACCTATTTGTTGGTAAACTAGATTTGAATCCACAGACTACTCTTTTATGTGCTTTCGTTTAGCACCACTTCACTCTATCACCTTTCTCTTTGTTTTATATCGCTCTCCTTCATCTCAAGACTGCATTCTTCTTGATGTTATTTCTGATCATATTGACCAAGCCCTCTCAATTTATCCATCAGCCAATATTGTTGTTTTCGGTGACTTTAATGTTTATCACACTGAATGGCTTGGCTCTATTGTCAGTGACTCAGCAGGCATTAAAACCCACAACTTTTGCCTCTTTTAATCCCTCAAATAGTCAACTTTCCAACTCGCTTTCCAAACAACCCTAATCATTTACCTTCTCTACTCGACTTGTGTCTTGTTTCTGATCCTAGTCAGTGTTCAGTTTCTCCACATTCACCCTTAGGTGCTTCCGATCATGGTTTGGTCTCTCTAAAATTATTATCTCATTCTTCTTTATCATCAGAATCCCTGTATCATCGTACATCTTACAACTACCTTAAAGCTGACTGGAATTCTTTCCGTGATTTTCTTTGTGATGGCCCTTGGATAGAAATCTTTCGTCTTCCTGTTGACAAATGTGTTTCTTACATAACTTCGGGGATTCAGGCTGGCATGGAATACTTTATTCCCTCTCAACAATTCCAGGTCAAGCCTCACTCTTTTCTATGGTTTTCCTCATATTGTGTTGCTGCAATTGCCAATCGAAACCATTACTTCCATATCTATCAGCAAAACAATGCTCCAGAAAACAGATGTTTATTACTTCTAGGAACCATTGTAAAAAGGTTTTGTCTAAAGCCCACTATTCTCAGATCATGAAATCTCAAAATCCATCTCAAAAATTAGGCTTTTTTGACTTCTGGAGAATCTTTAATAGTATCAATAATAAGGGCAAGTCTGTAATTCCACCTCTTTTGTTTGGTTCAGACTTTGATCTTCTTATTCTATGTCTGATTTACTAACAGTAATAATTGATAGGTTTTATCGCGCATTAGATCATGGTCATCATCATCAGGTCATCGCTCTTGACATTTCTAAAGCGTTTGATAAAGTTTGGCATGCTGGTCTTCTCTATAAGCTTTCTTCTTATGGTGTATCTGGAAACATCATTAAAAGAATCCTTCCTTTTAAGATTATTGAATTCTTCTTTTAAGATTATTAAATCCTTCCTTTTCAAACGTAGTATAAAAGTTATCCTTGATGGACAGCACTCTTCTCCTTATTCTGTAACTTCAGGGGTTTATCAAGGTTCTATCCTTGACCTTACACTCTTTTTAATTTACATTAACGATCTTTCAGATATTCTCACATCTAAGGTGGCATTGTTCGCTGATGATACTATCATTTATTCTTTTCATGATAAGAAGCCAACTCCTTTGGTTGCTTGCATTTGAGCTTGAAAAGGATCTCACTTTTGCTTCAGCATGGGGCTCACAGTGGCTGGTGAACTTTAATTCAGATAAAACTCAGTTTTTTTCAGCCAATCATTATCGCAATAATTAAGACCTTCCTATATTTATGAACGGTAATGTACTCCATAAGTCATCTACCCTTCATCTTCTAGGATTAACTCTTACTTCTGATCTTTCTTGGAAACCTTATATCAAATCCATTATAAAATTAGCATCTGCTAAAGTTGCATCTCTTTATAGAGCTCGACACTTTCTTACTCTAGATTCTATTCTCTATCTTTATAAATCTCAAATCCTGTCTTGTATGGAATACTGTTGCCATACCTGGGGCGGATCTTTTAATGATGCCCTTTCTATTTTAGACAAGGCGCAAAAACGCATTGTAAACATAGTTGGACCTGCTCTTGCTGCTAACCTTCAACCTTTGTCACATCGTCGTAATGTTGTTTCTCTTTCTCTTTTCTACAAATACTATAATGGGCACTGGTCTAAAGAGCTTGCGTTTCTTGCGCCATCTACTAAAATTCATTCCCGTATTACTCGTTATTCAATTAAGTCTCATCTTTTTTCTGTGACTGTTCATAAGTGCTCCAAAAACTCTTATTCCTTTAGTTTTTTCCCTTGAACACCAGTTCTTTGGAATTTGCTTCCTTCATCTTGCTTTCCTGATTCATATAATTTGCAATCTTTTAAGTTGTCTGTCAATCGTTATCTTGCTCTACAATCTTTATCTTTTCTTTTCTAGTAACTTCCAACTCTAATTAGTGGTTGCTTGCAGCCTTGTTGGAAGCGAAGATGTTTAAAAAAAAAAAAAGTTTTTAAAATAACTTTAAGTTAATTAAAAAAAGTTCTTAAATTTTAACAAATACATTAAAGGAAATACTTTTTTTTGTCAAATAGATAATACACAATAAACACTTTGAGAAAAGAAAAGAAAAATCAGTAAAATTGTTACATAATCATTTAAAAACAAAATTGTCAATCAAATTATTAGTTTATAACTTTTACTATAAACTAATAATATTTTAATGATATGCTAAAAGTAGATTATAAATTATCATATTTAAAAATGATTATTTAGTAGTTATGTTAATTAAATAATTATTATAAACTTATATCTGACATATTTGTTTTATGTTTTTGTTTTACACTTTGATTACACAATTAGTTTAACAAAAAACAAAAATAATACATTTGACACAAAGAAAACATTTGTATTTAATTACCTATAAAATAAAATATTTTGTTCATACTTTTATTTTAAATATATTGTTCATACTTGCTTTTTACTTTCAATGTAGAAGGTGTAAAAGTAGGATTAAAACGAAGCTTGTATTCAACTTTTTTTGGAAAAACTTCACCATCAAATAGATTTAAGAATACAATACCTGTAAACCAAAAAAAAAAAATGATAATGAAACAACAATTTTGATAATAATGATAACAAAAGATTATAAAAATAAAAACAGTAATAATAAAAAAAGTTACTAGGAAATATATTGGATGATTTGCTTGAATATTTAACCAACTCTTCTTCATTTTCAAAAGAAACAAAGTAATTTGATAAATTGTAACAATCGAAAATGTTTTCAAGATTTTCATAGTATTCAACTGCCAATTGCAAATTGGAGCTAAAGATCTTAATTTTTGATTTAAATGTTTCTGATGATTTTGAAGCGTTCAATATTTCATTAGACAAACTTTCAAACTAAAATATAAATTTGCAATGTATTTGATTTAAAAGTATATATAAAATATCTTTATATACATCTTTTTCTTTTGAATTTATTTTTTGAAAAAAAAAAAAAAATAAAAACAATTTGGCCATATTAAAATTATTAGGTTGTTATATATATATAAATTTGCAATGTATTTGAATCAAAGTATATATATATATATATATATATATATATATATATATATATATATATATATATATATATATATATATATATATATATATATATATATATATGTATATATATATATATATATATATATATATATATATATATATATATATATATATATATATATATATATATATATATATATATATATATATATATATATATATATATATATATATATATATTAGGGTGGAGTGAAAACGTGAAAAAATTTTTTTTGATTTGCTTGACTTTGGATAGTTATTAAAACTTGCTCTGTGATACAATCAATTACTCCGTAAAAAAAAAAATTAATTTAGGTAACGTCTTGAGGTTCCACAACCAATTTCAAAATTTAACCATTTATAAGCATTTACTATCCAGTATTTTTTTATTGTAGTTCACTTTTATACGTATTCACGTGCGTTTTTTCTGTCTAGAGTAAACAAACAGCGTTTATTGCAAAACATTTTATTCATATAAGATAATACTTTAATTCATTTATAATAACAATTCATATTTAATGGCTGTAACCAGGAAAAAAGTATCTTGTGTCATTTTTGATGCTCCCTCTGAAATGCCTGACAATCAACTACCTACTTATGCAGATGTTATGAAGTTTTACAATCTGACAAAACAGAAACTTAAATATGAATTGAACAATAAAGATCCACCACATCACAATGTGGCAGAAATAGTGACAACAAAAGTGGAACAAATATGGGACAAAGCTTCTATACCACATGTAAGCCACCGCCGTATCCAAGAAATGTTGAACAAGCAACACAAGACGTTCATGAATTTGCTGAAGCCATATAAGTCTAGAAAAGACTCCGGACCATACCGAGAGAAAATATCTCAGCTTAAAAATGAATCCAAAAAACTCTTTGACATTTGCTCCTGCAAGTGTTCTTTCATATCTCAGTGTCAGTGTGAAAAGTCAAGAAAGATACCCGCAATTGAACGTGATTTTCTAGAAGATCAGCGGGGTCCACGAGGTATGATCATTGCTAAAGTTGATGAGGCCGAATCCATCAAATTGCAAAAACGATATATTCGTAAAGAGCTGACGCAGAGGCAGATGTGCAGCAAATCTGACATTGATGACATCAGTGAGAAACAGTTAGATGTTTGTGAGGAGTTTTCTTCTACGGAAGAGAAAACTGATGCTAGCGATGACGAATCTGATGACGATTGTATGCCGGATCCTAATGAACAATTTAGAAAGTTGAGTGACAAGCAGATGAGAGTTAAGTTACCATCTCTGGCGTTAGCATGTGATCGACATGGTGTATCCGACAGGACCGCAGCAGGAATCGCCAGTGCTGTTCTTCAAGATGTTGGAATAATCCACGAAAGGGGTGTTTCTAAAGTGATTGACAGAAGTAAAGTGCGACGAGAGCATTGTAAAAAACGTGGAACATTATGTGCCAATGTCAGTAACACAATCACTGGGCTATATTTTGATGGAAGAAAAGACAGTACAATAGCCCTTATTAAAGAATGTGATGGGAAATTTCATCAAAAACTAACAACTGAAGAACATATATCCATTATATCCGAACCAGGATCCATCTATTTTGGCCACATAACACCAATTGCAGGGTCAAGCAAAATTATTGCGGCTGAGTTGATTGCATATTTGAGTAAAAAGAATGTTGACCTGGGTGGTATAAAAGCTGTAGGTTGTGACTGAACTGTTTCTAATACAGGCAATCGAGGAGGTATCATTCGATTACTTAAAGTGGCGTTGAATTACCGTTAAGGCATTTGTTCGAACATCTAGATGGACCTACCAATGGTCCAAAAGGATTTTCTGGTCCAATCGGAAAATCATTGGTGGCATGTGAGAAGCTTCCCGTTGTCAAATACACACCCATAAACTGTGTTCTACCGACAGGTTTAAATTCTGATGATTTAAGTACAGATCAAAAATATCTGTTTGACTTGTGCACCGCTGTCAGTGTTGGTGCTTGTCCTGTAGGACTTTCACTTTGCAATCCTGGTGTTATCAATCATTCAAGATGGTTAACAACGGCTAATTGAATACTACGCCTGTATATAGCCACAAAATGCCCATCGGATGAACTGAAGACAATGGTTACCTTCATCGTAACAGTTTATGCACCAGCATGGTTTGAAATAAAAAATACTTCTTCATGTAAAGATGGCGCTCGACATGTCCATAATACAATACTGAAATCACGCTACCTCACAGGCGAGCTGAAGAAAGTTGTTGATCCAGTAATTCAACGCAACGCATTTTTTACTCATCCAGAAAACCTGTTGCTTGCGATGCTTACCAACGAAAAATCAGAAATACGCGAGTTGGCTCTGAGACGTATAATGAAATCCAGGAAGCAGAAGCGCACGAGTTCAGTTAGATCTTTCTGTGTGCCAGTAATTTTGAAGCTACCAGTTACATAGACATGATCGATTGGCATAAAACTCCAATCACAGAGCCTCCAATTGTAATGGACATTGATGACGATACTTTTTTAACCATGATCCGGAAAGAAGATACACCAAGACTGGATTTCGCACGCTATCCTCTGTCACACTCAGTGGGTGGAGAGGCATATTATACTAGTTACAGAAGCTTCCCAAGCGGTTTGCGATCCAGAAAAACGCGACGGATTCATAAGAGCACGTTTGGAATCGAGATCAAAAATGCCGAAACTGGACACTAAAGCACAACATCATTTGTAGCTATAAAAACATGTTTGACTAGAGTTTTCATGTGTTTTTCTTTTCAAATATTTAGTTCTATTTACTTGTAACTTTCGTATAGACTGTTAAAAATGTATACTACTACACAAATATGTTGTCATATATAAACTTGAAACAAAAAATATTGTTTTTTATTTGAAATACGCCTATAATTCAGGTCAATTGTGGAACCTCAAGATATGCTTTAAATCGTTTGATTGTTTGCCACATTACTAATTGCATATGTCAGCAAATTTTTATAGCTATCCAACCAAGATATTCAACAAAAAATTTTTTCACTCCACCCTAATATATATATATATATATATATATATATATATATATATATATATATATATATATATATATATATATATATATATATATATATATATATATATATATATATATATATATATATATATATATATATATATATATATATATATATATATATATATGTATATATATATATATATATATATATATATATATATATATATATATATATATATATATATATATATATATATATATGTATATATATATATATAAATAAAGATGCAATGTATTTGAATTAAAAGTATATATGTGTGTGTGTGTGTGTGTGTACAGGCGTGGTCATAAGTTTAAATTCACTTAAAATTTTTGATAAATATAACAAAGAATATACTTTGAATATATAATATTCAGGCTAAATCAATAAATTGGTTTTCAGTAAAAATAGGGGAATCCCTAAAGTTATATTTTATTACAGGGATTCTGATTAATCTATAAAAATGTGAATATTTTACTTTATAATTATACCTTGCAGATCTATTTAAACCGTTAAAAACTGTAAATACAATTTTTTTTTTAGTGAAATCTTTATTGAATAATATTTTTCAATGAGAAAATGGGGAAGTAATGTGAACTTAGTGAAGGAATACAAGGATAGATTGTTTTTTTTTCATTCACAAAATTGAGTGAAACATTGAAAAATATTAACATGTTCCTGTGGTGCAACTAACTTTAAAATGGCGCAAAACATTCAAGAGTCTTAAAAGAAGACGGTGAAATGGCGTTGAAATGGAACAAAAAAAAACTACAGCTTGAAAAGACTGAATGATTTCACAAATAGCTTTGGAAAATTGCCTATCTTTGTCACTATCACATGACCTTACAGAGGCAACTGGAGCCAATATGTGGATTGGAAAGCTATGTTAAAGTGTTAGAAGCATGTTGTGATCTGTCAATAATATATTTGCAAATGAAGAACTTATTTCAGCAAGACAATGCCCCATGCCATACTACATATCATATGAAGGAATGGTTGGTTAAGTCCAAATTTTAGAATGACCAACACACCTTGTCACCTGACCTTAACCCCATAGAAAGTTTATGGGTAATACTTAAAAGAAAGGTCAGAATGGTCACATTTTAAAAAAACTTCAAAAACACTTTAAAAAAACATTTGATAGAAGTTATTGCTCTTGAATGGGCTAACAATACACAGGCAGATTTTGAAAAATGACTTCACATTCTCCTTACTTCGCATTCGCAGGAGCAAACAGACTGCAGTATGATATCAATTCAGCAGGAAAATCAACTAAGTCTTCTTTTGACAAGAAAACAATTTATAATAACCAAGGGTCTGCTAAAATTGCTTTAGATAAATAACAATAAAATGATACTATATTTGGATTCAATAAAAAAAATGTATGGTAAAGATGCTGATAAATTTCATATATTAGAATCAGTAATAACTGGTGCTATGGCAGCTTAATTACCAACAACAACATTAGCTGAAGAAAAGAATATATCAAAAACAATTAAAAACTTACCTACTACAGTTCAGAACATTCCCTCTAATATTAATAAAGCAGTAGATACAGTTGTTATGTGTGGTATCTTTGAAGCATCTTTTTATATTTTCTCCAAAATTTTAATATCTTTTTTTAAATAAGGTGACTATATTGACACTACATACTCTAAATGTGGGCGCACATAAATTTTAGGTTTACTTCATATATTGCAATCTTTTAAGTCATCAGTCAATCGTTATCTTGCTCTACAGATTTAGTCTTTTCTCTTCCAGTAACTTCCAACTCTTATAGTGGTTGCTTGCAGC